CAGATGTCATAAATTTGGGCACTTAATTGCTTAATGTAAAGAAAATGTAAGTAAAAATCAGAAGTTTAAAATAGACGATAAAAATGGACAGTTTAAAGATAAAGAATTAATGCTAGTATAGAAAATTATGTAACAACTACAGATAAAGGAGGTAACGGAGATAAATTTAATTGGGTCGTAGATACTGCAGCTACAACTCATTTCTGTAATAATAGAAATTTAATGACAAATTTCGAAGAAATAAACGATATACGTATGTCTTTAGCTGTAGGAAATTGTGAAAGTAAAGTACTAGGAAAGGGTACTGTCAAATTTGCAGTAAAAGTAGGCAATCGAATACATTGGATTGAGTTATATAATCTAAATCTAAGAAAAAATTTATTATCGGGAGCAAGGTTAGAAAAGGCTGGTGCTCATTTTGTGATTTCAAAAGGGAAGATGTGGATATACTTTAATAATTGGGATAGATTATGCTACGCTAAACGATATGACGGACTTTATCACGTAAAACCATTTAGATATGCAACAGGTAAAAGGTTACGGTACAGAAATTGGAAAGTTAAATAAAGTAGACGATGCAATGCTATGGCATCGGAGATTTAGCCACGTAAATTTTGATTATGTTAAGAAAACTAGTAAGAATCAAAGCTTGAAAGGGTTACCAGAAATTGAAAAACCAATAGAGAGGTGTAAATCGTGTATTATTGCTAAATCTAGTAGAATAACTTTTAAATCTGTTCCGAAGAGATCGGATAAACCATTGCAGTTGGTTTATTTACACGTTTGTGGCCCACTACCAGTTCCATCTAAGGGTGGGAGTAAATATTTTCTTGCTATTGTAGATGACTATAGTAGATTAGTAACAGTGTATTGTATGAAAAATAAAAACGAATCGTTCTACAACTTTAAGAATTATCATAGGCAAATGGAAAGACTGACGAATAGAAAATTAATAAGTATACGCACCGATAATGGTGGGGAATTCTGTAACAGGCAATTCGAAGGGTACTTAGCCGAAAATGGAATTAGTGTTGAACGCATGAACGCGTACACCCCAGAAGAGAACGGTGTGTGTGAACGTTTTAACCGAACGGCATTAGACGCAGTTAAAGCTATGCTTAATGATGGTAAAATGGGAAAAGAATGGTGAGCAGAAGCTCTTGGCTGTTTCGTACATACGTGGAACAGAGTATGTCATAAAAGCAACCGAACCCCTTATGAAATGTCCCTAAATAGAAAAACCCAGTGTTGTTTATTTTAAAGTATTTGGTTGTAAAGCCTATGTTGGCGTGCCAAAACAGATTAGGAAATAAATTAGAAATGAGGTGCAAAGAAGGAATCATGGTTGGATATGCGAAGGAAACTAGGGTTTATAGGATATGGCTGCCAGAAGAACGCAAATTAATAGAAACCTGTAATATGAAGTTCGATGAAAAACTGTATGCAGCAAATGGCATCCTGGAACAGAAATCAAAACCTAAATTTAAAAGACTAGAGGAATCTGAGCTATTAGCAGAATCAGATGAAGAACAGGAAATTTCTAGAGAAGAAATAAAGTTGTCAGATGACAAATCTACTCCGAAAGAAGTATCAGACTTAAACTGGCAAAGAAAAGCAGTTAAAAAGGCCAGATGGAACACGTACAGACATATATTATTATGTAGAGGGAACAGACACCCGTTTTAGATCCTATAATGATATTGACAAGTATTGTGAGGCAAGAAATATTAAATATGGAAAAGATAATTTCGATTTTAGTGGAAAAAACGAATACTTGGGGAAAGTTCATTTCGTAGAACAGGAGACTAGCTCTGTGTCTGAAGAGGCAAATTCCGTAGAAATAGTTATCCCACAAAATTTTAAAGAAGCACGAAAATCAGTAAATGCCGAAGAATGGGATAAGGCAATGAAAGAAGAAAAATCGACACAATGAAAGAAAAGAAAGGTTTGGGAATTAGTCGAAAAGCCAGAAAATAAAACTATAATAGGAAACAAATGGGTCTATACGCTAAAAAGAAATGAAAAGAATCAAGTGGTTAGATACAAAGTACGCTTTAGTAGCACAGGGATTCAGGCAGAAAAGAGGTGAAGATTTTGATGACGTTTACAGTCCTGTAGTAAATTTTTCAATCATAAGAATATTTTTCACTATACTGGTATGTTTATATGGATGGACTAATTGTCAGTTAGATGTAAAGAACGCATATTTATATGCAAACCTAAATGAGAAAATATATATGACCCAACCAGAGGGATTTATCGAAGAGAAAAATAAAGTGTGTTTATTACACAAGGCCATTTACGGTCTACATCAAAGCGGCCGTGAATGGTTTTGTGAATTTGAAAGTACTTTAGAAAATCTACATTTTAAGAAAATACAATGGTGTAATTGTGTTTATAAGGGTTCAAATGTAATTCTCTTGTTATATGTAGATGATATTGTGATTTTTAGTAAAGATCAATATAGTATAAAGTAATTTCACAGCTGAGTAAGTTTTTTGATCTTAAAGTATTAGGCAAAACTAAAATACTACTTGGAATTGAATTCTTAGAGAATATATCGAAGAAATTTTTGAAAAATTTAAACATTTCCCGATACCAATAACTTCACTTCCCATAGCTAAGGGCACTATTCTTACAAAATTAGATTGTCCATCTACAAGTGCAGAAATTGCGGAAACGCATACATAGAAATCTTTTAGGATGTTTAGTTTTTGTAGCTAACAGGACAAGGCCTGATATTACATATGCAGTGAATATCTTATCACAATTTCAGGAGAATCCTGGAATTAGGCATTGGGAAGCATTGTTGAAATTGCTTGGTTATCTCAATAGTACTAAATTATATAAGTTAAACGTATCGAGGATTAAACATCTAAATTTATATTGTTATTCAGATGCTGATTATGCAAGTAATAGAGATGACCGCGTGTTCATGGGAGGATTTATATTATATTTAGATGAAGTACCGGTAATCTGGAAAACTGTTAAAACAAAAATGTGTAAGTTTATCAACCATGGAAGCGGAGTATATCGCCTTATCTGAAGCAGCGAAGGAATTAATGTGGACGAAAAATGTCTTACAAGATGAAATTTTAAAGTTTAATTTAAGAGAGTGTAAACTATTTTGTGATAACAAGTCTGCCATTGATTTTTCTAGATCCCCAATAGAAATTCGCCGAACTAAGCACGTAGACGTAAAATATCACTTTGTTAGAAGACTAGTTAGTAAATGATGGAGTGTTTAACCTTGAATTTATCACCAGTAAATTAAATACTGCCGACTTATTTACAAAGGCAGCGACTGCTGTTAATTTAAGAAAGTTTTGTTTAGATGTTTTCAGTGTTTAAAGACAATAAGTGTTTTCGTATAATGGAATTGAACTATGAACTTCTGTGCAAGTTTTGTTTTTATCTTTGCATGAGGAAAAGAGGGCCGTTTGTTGGCTTTAGTTTTTCACATGCAAATTTTGATCGGAGGACAATCGGCGGTAAGCTAACGTGGTTGCCGCCGATTGGCCGATGACGTCAAGATCGGCGGGTTGGCCGAGTATAATATATATGTACGCCGGTATCGGCGAAGGTTCTTGTTTTTGTTCTCTTGTGTGATTATCAGTTAGCATTTTGCTAGTTTGCTTTCAATCAAATGATTTTAAATGTAAAGGCTACAGTGTTAGCTCTTTTATTTTATTTACGGAATAAAGCATGAATTTTATTTAGTTTAGTCTTAGCTTTATTTAAGGGAAGCAAAACATGCTTTGCCTTTATCACCACTTCCAACAACTTAAATATTAATTAAAAATATGCATTTTTATGTGCTTATAAAATTATTCTTATCACAGAATATATTTCTATTCTCAGAAACACTTCTATGCATATGCGTATAGTTTTAAATGTACATTTTACTTATTGATATAATTATATATTGCGTATATGCTTCATTTCTGTTAATATGGTTGTATGATCTTTAAAATATTGTTTTATTTTTGTTTTTAAGTTTAATAATGACATATTTATTTATATATATTTAAATCTTTGAAAAGATTTTATTACAATACCCTGAGACATTCAGTCCCTACCCCCCCACCCACAATTAAAAGAATGTGAAACTAGGAAATATTTATTAACATCTGTTAAGGACATAAGAATTTTATTATTAAAATTAGGTATTAAAGCAAGGAATTTTTTTTTTTTTTTTTTTTTTTTTTTTCCCCAGAATAGGGTATTTTTTTGAGCAGAGTCAAAATTTTTCACAAGCTAATGTACCAAAGGAACAGCCATTCTTAAAATGGTGATGCAGTATGAATTCTACAAAAGAGCAGTCAAGCAATAAAATTTAAAAAGCAAGAAAAACTGAATAAGAATGACAGATTAAATTAAAACTTCTACTTAGTTATTTTCTTGAGCAGTGGTCCGTGGTTTGTATGTAATTTTGATGCATTTTTCAGTTGAATCTTATTTATATCAATAAAGTAAAAATGTGAGAAAAAAGGCCTTCCAGGTGATCTTTATATTTCTAATACCACATAAATTCAGCAAAATAAGAATTGAAACAATAAAAAAAAAAGGTCAAATTTGGCTTCATTCTTTAGAATTGTTTTTTCCAGTAATAAAATAATGTGAATTTATGGCTATATCTTTCTGCAAATGTCATAGATAGATAGGCAGTAAAGTTTCTCAAAATTACTTCTATGCAATAAACCATCTCCAATCCATTACAGTTTCTTCTCCCATTCTATTACATAATATCTGTTCAATGCCAATTCCCCCCTATAAAACATTTAGTTTTTTACAATTAATTTGATTTTTATGTTTTTACCAAGCTCTTTAATTTGTCTTAGCTAATGCCTATTAGTAAGCTCTAGCACGTGATTTAAATATTTTTCCTCAGTATACCATTAATGATTATGATTTTTCTTAAGATTCCTAGAAGATTATTTTAATTTTCTTTATATATGCATACACACACTCACGCATATGAATGCACTTTTTTTTTCCAGCATACAGTCATTCTTCCTGTTTTGCTGTTAGAAACCTATATATTGAAACATCGTCATCCTCGTAGAAAGGATGGAGTGGTAATCACAGCACTATTTGGAATCGTTTATGCTTCATGGTAAGTGCCTAGAAGAAAATGCAATAAATTGTAATAGTAATTTATCATGTTTTCTGAATTATGTATGGATATTAATATATTAGAAATGGAATATATTAAAATTATATAAATATTAACATTTACTTTTCCAATTTTAATAGTCTTTTATACATTATATATATATATCTACCTTGCTTGATATATATATAATATATATATAATTAAAAATTAAGTTGTAAGAACAAATGAGAAAAGGCCAATTTTGGTCAAAATTTTGCGCATTGTGCTGCAAAATTAAGGAAATTGGAAGATAAATTTTAGTACGCACAACAAAAAGTTACCAAAAACTGTGGCTCCGTGAAAATTTCAACACAAGCATATTTTAGTTGCTATGAAATGAGTGAAAGAGGAGAAAAATACAATATTTGAATATTTACAAGTAAAATTAATAAAAACGTAAGCTATATGCTAAACGAATTAAGTAATTTTTAACACAGTAAAAAAACAAATCAATTGAATGAGGTAAAATAAAAATAGTAAGCTATATGCTAAACAAATAAAGTAGATTTTAAAACTCAGTAAAATACTAATCAATTGATCAAGGTAAAATATAAAAATGTTAAAATTAAGAAGCGGTAAATGGTTAATTAGCCCAATTCAAAGTTCATTTTGGCGTCAAGGGAAATTTTAAAAATGAGTTTTGAACCAAGCTAACTCCATTATGCGTTTTCCCGAAACAGACAATTGAAACTTTGCATGACAAATCTTTTAATGAATTAAATAAACTATGTCAAAAACCTTAGTCTCAATTCTCTGTTCCAATTTCTCATGCGTCCATATATATATGTTATTACATGCTGCAGATTTGTAGAGATCTTTTTGACATATTTATTGCTATGATAGATATGCAAATTTCACCAGAAGTTACTTTATTTTTTATAATAAAATGTAATTTGGATTAAATTCTGTTGGCACATGATTGGCTTTATGATGATAACACCAGCATCATATGCCTGCATATGATTGGTAGCATAAGTTTTAATTAGCCATGCTAAACGAATAGGAATGTTGAATCTTTTTTGAGACAAATGAAATACAATGAGATAAACAGCTATAAATAGATTAATAAAAGAAAAGAAAAGAAATTCTGGGTAACACGTAAGGAATATTGCAGATGTCCAAATTTGCACATCAAGCAATGTCTAAAGCAATAATATCAAATGAGATGATCTCTGACAAAATAGTTGCATGCTGTGATCTTTCTGACCAACTGAAGCGGAAGAATTTCTGCTAGGGCTTCAAAAATATGTTTAATTAAATAAATAAATGCATAATGATATGAAAGTATTTATATAATTTACAACAATATGAATCAGAAGAAACATATGTAATACACAAGGAATCAGAAAGAACAAATTGCACCTTAGTTGTGCTAATAGCTACTGCCAAATTTAAAGAAAAATGATGGGTTAAGAAAATGAAGTTATTATTTTGAAACAGTGAACCTTCACTGTTTCAAAAGGAAATGAAAAAGCATTTTACTTAAAATAAAATATCGTAAATCTTTTAAACGGTGAGTAGTTAAAAAAATAGGGGAAAGAAAGAAAGAAAGAAGAGATTATAATCTAAAGGAATATTATGCAATCAGATTAAGGATTCTAAATTAAATGCTTTTTAACTTTTACCTTTAGATAAAATAGCCCAAAAAAGTAAAATAAAGGTTTAAATTAAGAAATGTGTTCATTGTTTTAAATTACTTAGTTTGTGAGCCGAAAAAGATTGATTTGTGTAGTTTTAGAGTGATTTTGGGGCCATTTAATTAATTTTTAAAATATAAAATAGTATTCTTTTAAATGTTTGGTCTGATAACTTTTTTTTTCTGAACTGTAAATCTGCATTGTGAATTTCTATAATAGAAGGAATTTTCATAAAATTTTCAGGGTTTTGATTTCTATTCCTCTTCCGCTACTTTCCTGATTTGATCAATCATCTGTGTTTGCACTTAGAAAGAGCTCTTTTAAAGAGATCAAAAGCATAATAATCCATAGATGATATGTCAGGAGACTTTGCAGGATATGTAATGCCTGTATCACTCTTCATTTTTTTCAAGGAATGCAGTGACACTTTTAAAAATATGACTTGTAACTTTGCGTTGATGAAGTTTCACTCTTTGAAAGTCATTGGATTATGAAATGGAATTTCTTTGGTAAATGCTGGAGGTCAAACTTTCTCTTGATAGTATGCTGAGTTAATTTTAATATTTTTTCCCATTATTCTTATTTTTAAATTCTTATTGTAAGAAAACTGTGACAGTCATAATGCCCTTACTGAAACTTTCTTTGCTTTCATGGAACCAAGTTTGTACATTTTTTTCTCTCTTTTCAATAACAAAAAGATCTTTTTTTTTTTTTTTTTCCTGGCAGTCATTTATATAAACCCATGCTTCATCGAGGGTCACAATATATTTCCATTTATCTCCTGCTGAATAGTTTTCATACACGGTCCTACAAATTTCATACACAGTTTTACAAATTGTTCTGCCTGAACAAAGGTGGTGAACTTTGTTTTTAGCCTTTAAGTTATAAGTCTTAATTTATTATTGTATTTATTGTTTCTTGTTACTATTGATGTATCTTAAAGACTTTGCAACTGATTTCTGCATCGACGAATTTTTTTCTTGTTACCAACGATATAGCTTTAGAAACATCAGAAACAGTGCATACACTTTTTGGGTATTTGTTTGAGACCTCCTTTCCATGTAGAAATAATGACTGACAGTTTATCTCATTCTAAATAATAATGTTGCTTATTTTGTTCTTAGGACTTTTACTGTACATTTCACAACATTTTTTCATCACGGGAATAGGAATATTTCTCTATGGGATATTCAAAAACATAGCCTTCAATCCTCAGTTTGTTTATATGTGACATTTTGAAACAAGAATAAATTTAAATTTGTAGACAATATTTCTCATTTCAAAATGTAAGCTGTTTCTAGGTCTTTTAAACTCTTATTCCTATTTTGTGAAAATAGTCAAATTTGTTTTCACATTTTTTTAAAAAGTTTCATTAATTTTTCTTTTTATATTATGTATGTATCAAAAAATATTTTAATGAATAATTATAAAATGATACATTTTTTAGGGTGTTATATCTGGCTCTTGTTATGGATATCTGGCCATATCCAATTCTGCAAATAATAAATTGGACACAGAGATTTGTTTTCTTTGCAATCTGTATCGTATTTCTATTATTCATGTACTTAGTTGGTGAAAGGATCAATTGCACCTTTTGGGGTATGTTTTTTTGTAATTGCAGAAAATATATTTTAATGCATAGCAACTTGCAGTTTTTTGCATCATTGCATTCTTAGTCTTTTATTGGATAAAGTGATTAAAATGATTTTTTTAAAATTTAATTAATTAGCATGATGTGAATTTTTGAAAAGTAAAGATATTTTAATAATTGAATAGGAAATCATTTCCTATATCATTAAATATGCATTATAAAGTTTTGAGTATTTTAAACTTGTATTCTGAAAAGCTATTAATGTTGAATTTTTTTATTATGCATGCATTGAATGTTTTTGCAGAATTCAGTTTAATATCTGCATGAAATAAGGGTTTTTAATAATTATTTGGTATTCATCTGTTATCCTTCAAAGATGCTGTTTCGAGTGCAATTCATTAGAACCTTTTTTAGAATCCAGTTTGCTAGAATTTATAGTAAAAGCCCAAACATCCAACATTAATTAAGCTGGAAACCTCAAATAATCAGAATTTCTTGAAATTTTGGAATGTGTGCTGGAACGTAACCATCGAGACTCAAGGCCTCCGCACTACTTTATGACGTCACAGTCGTCGATCCTCTAAAAGCGAACATCACCCGATAAGAACTGTGCTCTCTCCCGTATTTCCCTAAACTTTGTTTTTATATATACGTTTCATTCCAATGCTAGTCAAAGAATAAATTAGCAGTGATATTTCAATTGCAATAAATATTGTTATATTTTATGATTTCCAAATAAATTTTTGTTGCACTTGATGATTATTTCATAAACAAGAAAATTGAAAAATAACATGAGAATTACCTTAAGCAAACATAGAGGGAAAAGTAAAGGTTTAAACAGAAACAATTAAACAAATTTCATTCAAAAAAGACTTTATTCAAAATTCCCTTTTTATTTTAAATAGATTAAATACAAATCATATACACAGATAAATAATCATAAATAAAATTCACTCATGTTGTTTAGGTTATGCATATTATTATAAAAATGAACAAAAAAAATTACTTGAATAAATATTTGAGGAAAAAAAAGTAACAAAGGTGAAAATGGTACAGAATTTTTCCTAGGTTTAAGAATTTCCTTACTATTAAATTCTCAAAATGAAATAGCAATATTCATATGCATTACAATAGAATCAATATTCAGTTTGTAGAATCAAAATACTCAATATTGTCTTACATTTAAAATAATGTATGTGGATAAATTACATTATGGAACAATTTGTAAAAAAATAAAAAAATCCACTGCAATTTTTACATTCAAAATAAATATTAATAATATTGTACTTTAACAAAATTAAATTGTTTTGTTTTTTTTTGGTCCACTGAATAAAAAATAAAAGAATTATATTTCATCTTATTCTATTTTGTAAAGTTAATTGATTTAGAAAATGAGTGGCTCAAATCTAAGTATAACATAAAGGAGATGAATGAGTTGTAAAGGAAAAAAAAAAAAAAAAAAAAAAAAAAGTGAAAAAAAGAAAGAAATACACTAGTGCATTTTATTTTTCATAATCTGAAATATGCATCATGTTAATGTGGATAATTTTCTTCTTTTACTGCAATTTCTTTTATCATTTAAATTTTGCAAATGTGTGTCATTTTTCACTTTACAGTAATTATTTAACAATATATTTGTTGAAGACCAAAGGATCATATTTATTATTTTGTTGTTAGAGTGTCCCAATTCACAGTTTGTTTCTTCAAATAGTTCTTCATTTAATATGATATTGCTTGTAATTGAAATAGCAACATTACGCTGATTTGATGAATTTAAGAAAAGGCATTCATATTCACCACACAGTTTTTTAATAACAATATAATTAAGACAATATTTAAAACACTGTCATTGGGACAAAGTCTACCCCTATCTAGATTTTTGAAGTAATCAAAGTATGCATGTTCAATTGTTTTGTCTCTTAACAATTTTTTTTCTCAAAAATTACATTTTAAATGCTTTAACACAGCAAAAGCACTATATCCTGCAACATAAATTAGTACTGGAACAGATTTCTTACATGATTCAATATCAGAAAGGCTTACAGAGACATTGAAAGTTGAATCTGTAATAGAATTAAGATCTAAACTGTTAAAATCTGTCAAACTATTTAACGCAATGTCATCTGTTATTTTTGGAAATTTTAAGAGACTGGATTCTTAATTTTGATTCAGCTTCGAACAGCTGTCTAATGCTTAATTATACTGACTTCCTGATAATTGCCTATACAAACCAAATCGAGACTCCAAATTATCAGTCTGAAATTTGCCAGGCAATATATAATTAAAATTTAGTTCAGAAGTACAATATGATGTTACTTCAAGCAATGAATAGGTACTTAATTTTAATGCAGAATGAGTTTCTTTACTGAAGATGCCCGTATCACAATTGAATTTTTCCCAACGCTCTAACCAATCTAAAAAATAATGTAAAAATATTTTTCTCATCATTTTCCAAATTTGTTAGCGGGTTTTGATATACATTGTTTAAACGCATGCCTTTGTTAGGCGATTTAACGTTAACTATATTCCACCATATTACAAATATTTTAATAAAATCAGATGTGTCTTGGAAATGTGCAATATTATTTTGTTTACCTATTTCTAAAAGGCCATTCTTTACATAATCACTGAAAACTTGTAACACAAGTTTAACATTTTGTTTCTCAAGATTGGAGGGATTTAATGCTTTATATGATAAATTAAAACCATATTTTACCAAGGAGTTAAATTCAAGTTTATGCATTTTTTTAAGTGCATTCCATGATGCTGTTTTCAAAGAGGTTTGATTAATATCATTAAATGATGGAAAATACATACATTTTTCACCTTTTTGATTGACCCAGTTGTTACGAACACATTTCAATAAGTGAACAGTATCAACTAAATAAAAAAGAGGTCTAGAATTGCCACAGGGGTGAGGATATACGATTCGTATTTGGGGAGGTGAAACAAATAATGACATACATTTTCTTTTAATAGAATTATTATCCGTTACGACACATATTACAAAAAAACCAATTTCTTCTAAACCAATAATAATTTTTTTTTACAATTTCATGTATTATTTCAGCATTTATTTTATTGGTTGGCAATATATGAATGACATCTTTGTATTTTGATAGCAAACTGCTAATCATAAATACATGGGCACTGTTTGCCAAATTTTTATTGTCATAAGACAAACCACAAATGTTACCGCCCTTATAATCTAAATGCTGTTTTAGATGTATCTCGTCAATCATCAAAATTACTTTTTTATCATTATCTTCCAAAAGATTAAATTTATGTCTTACATACATTAAAAAATTAGAATTCAATGTTTCGGCATCTGTTTTCACATCATACGACAAGCAAATGTGACAAATTGTAGAGGGATGTGGTAATAAAATATTTTTACTATTACGAACAAAATTATACGCATGTGGAGCCATGTTAAAAAAAGAGAGCAGAAAATATCATCATGTCAGAAGAATACCTGAGACCATTCTTATTTAAAAAACACAATGATAATTGCTCCTCAATAAATTTTAGTTGCAGTTTTACATTTCATTACCATCACATTTCATCATTTTTTTTTAGTGAATAGATAACAGTTTTCATAATATCTGTTGCATCGCTTTTCTTTACACATACACTTTTAATTAAAGCTTCAAAAATGTTGTTAAGGGTGTCTATGTGGCTTATATTTAAAGGAAAAGAGTACGTACCTAATTTATGTACTTGAGTCTCATATATGTATGCACTTGTAGAAAGTTTATCATCTATTACAAGTGAACATTCTATCACTGGAGCTGTATCTGTTATAATTTTTGCAAAAATTATCTGGTCAGTTTTTCTGAAAACAGTCCACACTGAAGTGTCAATATATTCTATTTATGCATGTAAATCACCCAGCAAGGAAAACATTCTTTTAGAGTCATAGTTCTTTTGTTCTGCAGCACTCTTCTGTAAAGCCAATTTCAAATAATCCACCTCATGGCGTTTCCTTCTGTCATCTGGACCTTCCCTTGGTGTCTTTGAATTTGATGATAAATATCCTGGCAAATTGGGAAATTTAGATGGCACTCTCCCTTTTATTAGCCTTGGATTTTTATAGGGAACTGTTATTCGACAACCTGTTCGCTGATCGAAGACGCTATTGTTGTATTCAAAATCACAGTCATTAAAATGTTGTTCACAAACCTATGGGAAAATACAGAAATTATTTATTAATTTAATATTAAAAAACATGTTTAATGTGATATTTTGTTAAATGTAAAATAACATAGATATGCCTGAAGAATTTTCATTATTCGCAGATTGGAAGTTTTATTCACATAGTAGCAAAATATAATTAATTGAATTTGTTTTAATAAGACTAAAACATATTGTTAAGTAGGAACAGCTTCCGTATAGGTAATTTTTTCTTTGGTAACCAAATATGGTCGCTCACACTACACACAGCGAGAAACATACAAATTATTTTTAGTAGTATATACATATTTGTTAAGAATTTAAATTTGTTTGAATTTAAATGTAAATTATATAGTCATTTTTAATTCCATTTAAAGTTAAATTAGCAATTATTACACCAGATGTAAAATTACATCTGGTGTAATTAATTTTACACATCATATAAAAATTCATATAAAATGAAAATATACATGAAACCTGATAATATTTAGATTTAGATAAATAATGGAATGTTATAAATAATTAACATACCTTACTATGAGGAGTAACCACAAAATTATCTCTTCGTATGGCGCGTAGCCATTTAGCTGAATCTTGCTTATTTTTCGGAAATCGAAATACTCGAACTTTTGGGCCACTTTTATAATTTCCTTTACACCCGGGAACGCAACAAGGATGAGGCATTCTTCACAACTGTTTGGAAGCTTAGCTTATATACTATTTTTAATTAATTACCAGTTCTGGAACAAAATAACAACCGAACCAAAGTGCCCGAACACAAATGAAGCAAGTTAACGCCGCGCGAAAACAGGTTTGAAGTCTCGGCGGTTAGATC